TAATGTTCGGCTCCGCCCGAACTTAGACTTTCTTACTTGTTTATATTTGTATGTATGTTTATAGGTACCTTGCTTATCGTCTGCGTATTAATGCCACTTATGCATTTAAATCATTACCACTGGCGTATTTTTCAGCCTACTGAAAAATGCTTTGGGCTGCATTTTTGTTACTTGTAAGTGTAGACACTTTGTGTAATTATGTACAATGTAAATTAGGATGGGTCGCGGGAAAGGATTCTTGTCAGTCCCAGGCTGAAGAAGCTCCCTGCAGGAAATGTATCTAACTATAACCTAACTTTAAGTTAATAAAGGAAGGAGCAAAAAGTCAGTTATTATCTGAATATTTTCTTTGACGAAAGCTAACTATATTTCTATGGCGATGGCCGCGAAATAGGCGGTTTACCTCTGCATTAGATGTAGTCAAGGGTGGTTACCTCTGCATTTGATGCAACTAACTTGTAACTAACTACCTTTGGACATAAAACATCAATAGGAAAAACAAAATATTTTTATTTTTATTTTTAATTTTTTTATATTTTTTATTCACTTTATTTATTTTATTACATTTCATATTTGTTTCCGTATTCTTTTGTAGGTGGTCCCATATTCTAACTCCGTCAGACATACCCTGCAGGAAATGTATATAACTATAAGCTTACTTTAAGATGATTAGGATGGAGGTATAAGTCACTTATTATCTTACATTTTCTTTGACGAAAGCTAACTTTATTTCTATGGCGATGGCCGCGAAATAGGCAAAGGTGGTTTACCTCTGCATTAGATGTAGTCAAGGGTGGTTTTACCTCTGCATTTGATGTAACTAACTTGTAACTAACTACTTTTGGGCATAAAATATCAATAGGAAAAACAATTTCTTTGTTTTTTTATATATATTTATTTTATCACATTTCATATTTGTTTACATATTCTGCTGTAGGTGGTCCCATATTCGAACTCCGTCAGACATAACTTCAAAATGATAATATGAAATTTCGATCTTCCTTTTATTTGTCCTCAATTCGAAAAAGTATTTGGGAAGTGCGAGATATTTAAATAGAAACGCGTTTAAAGAAAACAATCTCGAGCTTTACTCCTGTATTAATGTAAAACTGGGACTCCGAGGTTCCTGGAATCGCCGTCGTCTTCAAAGCAAATAAAAGGTAGTTAAATTTTTTTTCTTTCTTAGAGAAAAACTTGGTTAAAGGTCTCATAAAAACTTACCCAAATGTTGGTATACAAATTTGGCAGTTAAACTCCAGAAGTATTTTGATTCATCTCTTCTAAATTTTTTGTTTTAACTGAGGCTAGAGTTCTATCTTTTTGGAGAAAAACATTAAAATGTTCGTTTTCGGAAACCCTTTTATAAAAATTGGTTATTAGCATTTGTGTAGAACATTCCCTCTTAAAGCTAAAGTTGAAATTAAAATTTTCTATACAAAAAATGTGTTCTAAATTCTCTTAAGAAAAGAATAAAATACATTTATAACAAGTAATTTTTAGCAAAAAAAAACCGACTTAAAAAAAATATATATATGTCTATATATTTCATGATCCAATGATCGGATCTAAACCAAATTAGCACCACCTCTGAGACACTCCCTTTCCGTTGCAAAAAGAATTATTCAAATCGGTTGACGTGGTGCAAAGTTATGCGGTAACATACATAAAAAAAAAAAAAAATATTCCGACGAACTGATAACCTCCTCCTTTTTTGGAAGTCGGTTAAAAATTGGCTTGGTGATCAAAAGGTTAACAGTTTCCGCATTGTAAAAAATAATTGTGTTGAGGTAAAGAAAAATTATTTTGAAATTTTACTACCACATACGAAAACTGACGTTTATGTATAGTTTGGTTGAGGCTCTTAAATGTCCATCTTTCTGGACTGGAAAAAAGCTTGAGCAGTCATGTTTTCATAAGCGGGTTTCACTGTAAAAAACCTTGAAAATTATTTCTTGATATTACTAACCCTTAATAAAAGAAGAAAACGTCGAATTTTCCATTTCCGTCTCACATTCAAATTTAATTTAAAATTTTTGACGGATAGTTAGTACACTTTATTTGATTACTTTTAGTTATTTATTTACAATATAAATAGACACAATATTTTTCTAGTATTTCATTCATTTATTACTAAAACTTACTAGAAGTTCTTATACATAAAGTAAAGATACACTTAATACTTAAATAAACAAATTATTCCCTTTTAGTGTACTTAACCTATAGTCCATTCAAATCCTACTTTGGCACATTCACAGCTAACTAGCTACAAAAATCAAATTCAGGAGCACATAAACGAGTTTTTACAAGTAAATATGTGCTATAATCAGGCTTACTAGTTCGGGAATTGTTTTGCATTTACAGGGTGACAATAAATAAGTGTTTACAAACTATAAAAGTTCATTGTGAAGGACCTGCGTAGCTTATAACAGATTATGTATGCCATATGGGCAAATCCATAAAACAGGTGCACTTTCAAAACAAAAAGTTAAATTTTTTCATTTGTGGGCACACCTATGTTTTATATATCATTCTATTCGCAATCTTTTAATAAATCGATAAATATAAGTGTAATTCATTTTCATCAAGTACTTCAAAAGTTAGACGAGGAATAAACATTTAGATCGCTGAAATAGAAAACAAAAAAATTATTTGGGTTCAAATTACGCTGTGCAAGTTGTAACTATTGAGCAAAGATTTTGAAAGTTGAACAGACTTAATTGGGATGATCTAATTTCAATGGCATCCTCCGTTTTACCAGATTAGTTCCGGTTTTCGAGATAACGGAACTTGAAAATTTTATTAAATTTTAACTATTTTATAAATAACTCCCTCAGTTTTGAAGTTATTGCACTAAAATTTTGCATATAACGGGTTTTTAATACCACCTTTTAACATATAGCTATAATATAACGGATTACTCCGATATATATTTGCGCTCTAACTCTAACTTCATATCTGAATAATAAATTGTATGCGTGCTACATATATGTTAAATTGAACCTATACTAAATTTTTACCTGCTTAATTGGAGCAGTTGTAACGCAAAACAACGTTTCCGAGCAATCAGTTGTATGGGAGCTAGACGTTATAGTGAACCGATTTCGATGATTTTATGGAATAGGTAAGGTAATATTAAAAAACGGTTACGTGCAAAGTTTTAGTAAAATATTGAATTAAGAAGGCTCCAGTTAAGTAAGAGCAACTATCAGAACCTTTGTCGAAAAAAAGTTGCTTTGATACCACTCTCAAAATATTCCGACTAAAAGAAGGAGCATCATTAAAAGTAGTAAATCAGGGTTTTTACACACTTCTAGAGACAAATTTTTTGAAGCATTTTGCAGGTGTATGTAATTTTATAAGGACTAGCAGTTATAGAAAGATTTAGATCGTTTCGACGTATTTTTCAAATGTGCCCTCAATTAAGGTGTTTTTGAAATAAAAATTACGCTCAAGATCGCAGAATATTTTATCTTTAAAAGTTAAATTATTCTGAAAGCACATCTCTTGCTAAGGTATCAAATTATTTGTAATTGTTTGTAGAATACAATACATACTTAAAAAGTTCTTAAAATTAAATGCTTCAAAACCTATACGCAATAAACCGAAAATTTTGAAAATTGTGAAATGTGGAGCTACAGACTTTGAGTTACTTGCCGTTTCGTTATTTTTTAATGCACACTTTTCTTACCTACTACATATGAAGTGTACACATAAGTGCTAAATGGCCATTAAATTTCAAAGCAGAATATGGTGTGCTTCAAAAAAAATTCACTTGTTTTCATATTTTTTTTTTTTTTAATTAAACACCGATATTTCAAAAGTTATGCAGCCAATTGATCCAATTTTTTTTGAGGCTTCAAGTATGCGTCAATGAATTATATCCAAAAGCAACCAGGTTGATTTAGTTTACAACAGTGAAAATAAAGTTAAACAACACAAAGGTTACCTGGTTTTTAGATTTGCCCATATAGGCCCTTATAGCATTTTTGCTCATTTAGGGAGTTAGAGAAAACCCAGCGGGAGAAGTAGTTCAATGCTTTAGAAGTTGCTTTCTANTTGATCCAATTTTTTTTGAGGCTTCAAGTATGCGTCAATGAATTATATCCAAAAGCAACCAGGTTGATTTAGTTTACAACAGTGAAAATAAAGTTAAACAACACAAAGGTTACCTGGTTTTTAGATTTGCCCATATAGGCCCTTATAGCATTTTTGCTCATTTAGGGAGTTAGAGAAAACCCAGCGGGAGAAGTAGTTCAATGCTTTAGAAGTTGCTTTCTAAATTCCACTGATTTTATAATTTTTAATTTTCCTACAAAACTGCATTTGTAATGAAAATGATTGTAGGCCCTTCTTCATTAAGATAACGACAGAATGTGGAGTTTTGGCAAGCATAAACATTGAAAATCTTAAAATTATGTCAATTATGTTCATACCTACATACCTACATACATACTACATATATACTTATATGTATATGTGTGTTAAAATCCCTATTTACACTTTTGCTATTCATATAGCACAAATCGACTGAATTTAATTTACAAAATTTCAAGTCATTATCTCTCAACATTCGACATGAATATTAATGTTCGGAAAAAGTATTTCAAGTCTTACTACAATTAAATTTTTAATGTATAACTACCAATAAAACTTATGTATTTAATTTGTATAGCTAATACCTTAGGTACTGTATATATACACACATAAACACTCATACGTATATGTACATCGAATAGTGCTGATACATTTACACTTATAAAAAAGATTGTAGTACTTATAATAAATTCGTTAGTTTATGTACATTAATTTCCCTTTTAATCCTGTTTTTCTTCGTTATTCTTAATCAGGAAGCAATTATTTTGTTGAATTGCTAGTTTTAAACGTTTAACTGTTTAAACAGAATTTTCTTCAAGTCCTTCCTGCAGAATAAATGAGATAAAAGAAAAAGTAATTATAATAATTTCAGCGTGATAAAAGAACGTGGCCAACTCTTAGGCATATTTCAACTTTTAGGTTTTGCAAGTTACACCATAAACAGAAAAAATCACCAATTCTTTTAAAGCACCTGACATTTTATTTGCTATGTATGAAATCATACTCTGTTGCAATATGGTTCGAGGCACGTTCTCGTCCAAAATTCATAAAGCAAATTGAAAAAAAAAATAGCTTGGCAACTTTTCCAAATCCCTTAAAAATGTGCTTGCAACACTAGCACAATAATCTGCCTTTCCTTCTACGTCTGTATTCCCACTTACATTTACATGTTTTCCCTCTGCGCTAACGCAATAACTTGTCGCTTTACTCATAAAAAAGGCATTGCAATGAAATGGAAGTCCAACAAACCCCTCTGGGAGACAGAACGGAGAAAAATTGCAAAAATGCAAATTGAACAGGCCAATAAACTGACGGACGTTAAAATTGTTGAGGTTGAATCTTGGTTGGCTTTAAAAACTTCTGCGAATCACCCGAAGCAAGGATGTTGAATTGTACATACCTTCATGAGCGGACTAATCGCTCGTGGCATAATGTTCAGCGCCGTGACTGTGGGCATCATATGCAAGGCACCGTTTGAGTCGCGTTGCATTGCCAACGGTGCGCCCGTGCCAACATTTAACGAGAGATTCTGGTTGTGGCCCAACAGGGTGGTGGTTGTCGCCGATGAGACGCACGACTCGCGCTTTCCTTTGCCGTAGTAAGCTGTGAGTGGCCTGCAAGGAACAAAGCAAAACAAACGCTGCACAAATATTATGCGATGGCAAATGAAAAACTGAAATTAAAAAAGAAACGAAAAGGTAGTAAAATTGTAGGAAAGCTAAGTGTTTATGTTTGTTAACGAAAATTTTAAATTTCTATATATCGTTACCATAATATAGAAAGGCCCTAACTCATTTTCTCTTCCAAATCCAGTATTGTTCAAAAGTCGGCCGATAACCCATAAATCACCTACTGGATTTTAAAAATATTTACTATAGCATAAAATTAGTTACATTCTTAAATAAAAACAACCTATAAAAGAAACTCCACCGCAATAAGAAGAGAGAGGCCGAAATACGTGAGTGCGAAGAGCTTGAGATGCTGGCCGGCAGGAAGAACGCCCGAAAATTCTATCAGAGGGTTAGGCGACTTACGGAAGGTTTCAAGACCGGGGCGAACTCCTGTAAGAACAACAATGGCGACCTAGTGACCGATGTCCAGAATATACTTAAATTGTGGAGGGAACACTTTTATAACCTACTGAATGGTAGC